AGTTGGAACTGGATGATCTTTAAGGTCCCTTCCAGCCCAAACCATTCTATGATTCTATGATTTAAAGCACTACAGTAGCCTTAAAATAATTGATATCTGTTTAATACAGGTATGTGTCCTTTTGCTTTGTCTGTAAACCATTAAAATCTGGAACTAGCATTAGTCTTGCAACAATTGTAAACTTATCGAGGACCAAATGATATTTGCATGATATGGTTTTATTATAAAGTGAGGCAACGCAAGAGGGGAATCTTCCACTGAACTTATTTGGCACCAAAGATATCAAATCCCAGAGGTCATCTTCACTTTCCTTCGTTTTCTTGTACTATACGTTCTTGTCAACTCTACTTCCAGGTTGACTGAGATAGGAGGCAAGACTGTGATCTCTTTTGATAGCTGAAGCATATGGCTGACAGTGTGTCTCACAGAATCTATGAAGACTAAAGAGTGTCTTACTCGGCTCCTAGACCATCTGCCTGTAATCTTGGTGTTACAGCAAGAACTCCATTCAGACCTATATTACTGTCTTCTGACAGTGTAGCTGTTAAGTTGTTAAACACCTCGATTCCATAAATATCTTTGTGCAGTCAGAAAAAATTTTCTCAAACTAAGATCTTTGACTATGGTGTGGTTTTTAAAAAATGCCCAAGTATCAGATTCTGTGCTGCTTCTCAAGCTCAATGGTTAGTGTCCATCGTTGTGATATCTGCTTGTCACCTCTCAATATGGTGATAATTGGTTTTGCTTTTTGTTTTTAATATTTCTTCTTTTTCTTGCTTCTTTAATTCTTTTTCATTTGGCAGAGATGTGACTTTCACTATGAATCCCTTGGAATCTCTGCTGCAAGTTTGTGGGATATGAAGAATAGTCTTTCTTTTCTTATTTTGGTTAAAGGAATGGATTTAAGATGTTTCATACCACAGTGTCCCATAGGATAGTCCATAAAGAAAAAACAGTGCTCAAGTTTCGCCTTAATATGCCCTTGACTTTTATCTAAACCAGCTGGCTAATCTGGCTATTTCTGACACAATGAGCTTCATAGTATCTGTATCTCTGCTTGGTTAAATTGAAGCTTAGTTTTAAAATACTTTATATTTTAAAGTTATATCTCATTTTGCTTATATTTCTGTTGGGATGTTAAATGTTTTGAAGGCCTAGAATAGGTCTGTGTGTAAACTGTAACTCTTGGTGCAAAGGAACTTTGAACATCCTTACTTCTTGCCCAAATCAGGGCTTCTGTTCTGGTTTTGGCTGGGATAGAGATAATTTTCTTCATCGTAGCTTGTATGGGGCTATGTTTTGGATTTGTGCTGAAAACAGTGTTGATAATACAGGGGTGTTTTAGTTACTGCTGAGCAGTGCTTACACAGAGTCAAGGCCTTTTCTGCTCCTCACACCACCCCACCACTGAGCAGGCTAGGGCTGCACAAGAAGTTGGGAGGGGACACAGCTGGGACAGCTGACCCCAACTGACCAAAGGGATATCCCAGACCATATGACGTCATGCTCAGCAATAAAAGCTGAGGGAAGGAGGAGGAAGGGGGGGACGTTCGGAGCGATGGTGTTTTGTCTTCCCAAGTAACCGTTACACGTGATGGAGCCCTGGTTTCCTGGAGATGGCTGAACACCTGCCTGCCGATGGGAAGTAGTGAATGAATTCCTTGTTTTGCTTTGCTTGCGTGCATGGCTTTTGCTTTCCCTGTTAAACTGTCTTTATCTCAACCCATGAGTTTTCTCACTTTTACTCTTCCAATTCTCTTCCCCCATCTCACCGTGTGGGGAGTGAGTGGCTGTGTGGTACTTAGCTAAGCCTACCGAGGTTAAACAACATCAGCTTCATACAAAGAAAATTAAAATAAGTGGCTAAAATGCTAATTAAAATTAGCTTCATGTGCTGATTAGGATTGCTGTAAACTGTAAATTTAAATTTTCTTATACTGTAAACTAATCCTTTCTGTGTAGAACATCCAGATCTCACTTTCAGCATGTTTCAGAAGTAATACCAAGTTACTCATGCCCTTGGTTGAAGAACTAAACATGAGCCTGCTCCAGTATAACTGAAAAATCTAGGCTGTTCTTTTTCCGCTCCTCTACTTGTCCCAATAACTTAGAGGGATTTGCAGGCAAAAAGAGCTCAGTGAAGAGAACTCAAACTGTTGCCTAAACTTAAATTATTACTCTGTTTGGGTCAAGTCTGGTGGCTTTTTTCTTCTGGTTCGCACTATATAACACTTACCTGTTAACATTGTTTAAAGCCTTTTTTTGTTCTCCCTCTAATTATTAATTTAATAGATTAATAGAACAGCTGGTATCTGAAGGGAGTACAATATTTTATAGGAAAACTGAACACTGTATTTTTGTGTGAGTAGGGGGCGACAGACTTACTGCATAGTCCCTACCTCATTTCTAGGTTTTACTGTGGTGAAAGCTGGGTTGTCATCTGTTTCGTACAGTAATAGTGCTGCAGCAAGCCTGTCAGTATAATCAGAATGTCTGAATGTCTTTGGTTGACTAATGTCTTTCATGAGTCTCCTATATCCCGTGAGTTCAATCTATTCCTTGCTTATATCTATACAAAACTCTTAAATTAAATGTGGAATTTGCAATACTGATATTCTAATTTTGAATAAATAGAAATAGTGAACTCTGAAACGAAAAAAACTTTGCTATGTGAATTGATGGGTGTATTTGGAAGGAGAGGTAAGGAAATAAACATTAATATCTCTCACTATAAGCTTTGATCTTGTTGCATTGTTCTGGAAATCTGCTTTATCCTATGAGCTGATCGAAGTTTGAATGTGATTATTTTCTTTTGCAGATGAACCAACACGTTCCTTGAGTGGTCTCAACGAGTCTCATATTGAAGAATAATGTAAAAGCGCATTTTCGCAACTTTCCAAATGGGGTAACTGACTTCATTAAAAGTGAATGCCTGAACAACATTGGTGATTCCTCCCCCTTAATTAGAGCTACTGTAGGTAAGTTTACTCTTGTTGCTGTCTTCTGCACACTGAAAATGTTACTGATATAAGTGAGAGCTGTACTAGTGAGAGTTATTAAACTCCTAAAACTGTTTGCTTCTGATAATTGTCACAACTACATCATGTTTTGATGCTGATGTTAATCTTCAGTGTGACTATATGAAAGTCACACTTATTTTTGCTTCCTATTCTCTTAAAACTGATTTAGCAATTCAGTTCATATCTCTTGAAATGTGACTGAACCTAAGTTTACTTGAATCTACTGAAATTCAGCTTGCTGCCAATTTTTGTACCTAAAACCAGGAACAAGGTAAAGGTCTGACTTCAGAACTATTTCAGCACTCCACTTGCAGCAATGAAACACTTCTGTTAGCTGATTTCCTCCCTGCCCCTCCCATATGCACACCCCTTCAGGGGATCATTATACCATGCATGGCACACATTAGCATAATGAGTTTCTGTTTTTTAAATACCTTCTGTCAGAAAACAGTAGATAAAGTGTGGTGATCAGAACATCAGATAGAAGTGTGTTTGTTGCATGGATTTCTGATTTCCTAAATACTGTGTTTTAGTACACCTCTTCCATAACATGCATATTTGTGTTATTTTTACTTATTTCTAGGTAATGTTGCTTTTCTGTCTGCTCTTTGAGGATGTGATTTCCCCCAATTACTACAATCATAGTAATTTTCCTCGTCTACTACAAAAACTAGAAAAAAATAAAATAAATGTATATTTAAGTACAGTAGAAAAAAACAGGGGCGAGTGCAAGTTCAGAAAGGAATTCAGCTTGTATCAGCTGATTTCTGTTATAAAATAATCTACCAGTTATTGCTCCTTTAGAGTCCTTTGCTTTTTCTATAGGATTCCTTCTCCAGATATCTGGGTTAAGGACTTTGGACTAGAGAAAAATGTCTCTCTCTGCTTTTTCCTGCTGTCTCATCCCTTGTGAAGCTGCTTTACTGTGAATTTTATTAATGCCCCATTTCCTTAATGACAGTAGAAACAAGTCTTTGAGTGGCAGGTATTGTTGTGATTTCAGGTTGTAGAAGAGTTGTGCTTGCTTGTTTGTTCATACAAGTTGTCAATGGAGTACAATGGAGCTGACTAAAGAATATAAGACTATATTACAGTTCTGTTTGGATTGCTGTCTTAGGGTGGTTTGATGGTGGTGGTGGCAGTGGCGGCTGGGGGTGTGTGTGTGGCCTGTTGTTTGTTTGGTTTTGAGCAGTTTATTCTTTCATTTTTCCTAGTAGGAAACATTTGTGGATTAGTAGCTCAATTACTGTTGAGCTTTAAGTGGTCCTTGCAGGGATTATTCAAGCATATATGAACTCTGAAGATGCGTACCAACTGATGAACTGTATGCTTACATAATAAGAGTTGCTATTTATAATGTGTTTTGCACTCTGTTGTGTGAAGTAATTAAATGTTGAATCCTTGTAGGCTTCTGTCTTAATAGTGAGGTTGGTCCAGTACTCACTGGTCTCTTGATACTAGCCAGGTGTAAATATATTGCTACCTGCCTAAGCTGCCTTGTTAGCATATGAGTTGGCACGTGCTAGTCATAGCTGCTCTTTGAGATGTGCACATGTTTTTGCTGTTCAAGTGCTATCAATTTAATGAGCCAACCGCAAATAAGATCTCTCGAATTCTGAGAGGAAGATGAGCAAGTACATCAAAATAGCATCAGGGAAGAAGTAATGCAGCCTTTGTGGTCTTTGGCATCTGGTTCTAACCAGACAAAAGCTAATACCTTTTGACCAAGATGGAGGCAAGCTGATTAATCACATTCTCAGAGGTCACCTCACTGAGGACAATGAAGATGGCAATAAGAGTCTATTTTAGAACTGTGATTCAGGGCCGAATGGTAACTACACATCGTTGTATCCTTACTTAGCTTTTCCATGTTTTAACCCCCAAATGAGTAAGTGTGGAACTTCTCTGTGCTGTGTGGTACAGGTTTTAAAAACCCTTGTGCCAACATTGAAATATGGATTTAAGTTCAAAAAAGACGGCTGCATGTGTTGAGGACCCACAAACTTACCAGGAAATAAATGCATCTATTTAGGTGTCTGTGACTGTTCTTAAAACTTTCTGGGGATTCTAGTCTAGGCAGGACCTTAGTGTAGCTCCCTGCTTAAAAGCAAGCAGGGGAAATAGTTTGAGTGTTTAAGAGTAGTGGCAGGACTGAAGAGCTTCATTGCAGAAGGAAAGTGAAAGTTAATGATTGCCTTATGAGGGGGGAATTTTGTCATGAAGTTCAACTTTTTAGAATTGAGGAGTTCAGAAATCAACTTTAGGAGCTACAGAGGCAAAACACCACCCCAAACCCCCCAACCTTTCCCCTGCCCTGTTATTGGCATGAAAGTACTGAAGCACAGTTGCTTTTTCTTTACGTTCAAATTTTTTATTGTAGAGTTGATGCCATAAACTGGGGTTGCATGTAATTGGAATAGTGACATAAAAGATGCTGTCATGACAATTACACTTCTGTTTTTAACAATTTCTGACATCCCTCTGGAGTCTGTTCTCTCATGTGTTTACTGCTCAATTAGCTCAACTGCTGTACTTGTTAGATTGCACATTTGTCAAGTGAAATATGAACAGATTCTGTAATACTGATTTGTAATTAAGTTCATTACAAATCAAAGACCACCTTTATAAAGATTTTCAGTTTCCAGTTTCTAACCTTGCAGCTTAGTATGTTGGTCAGAAGGAAAGGCCTCATTTAACTGTCAACTCTAGCCCAAGCCTGTCAAAACGCTGCAAGCTACTAAACTGATTATTTCTTTACTTTGATTATTCTTCTGATGTCCTTATTTCTGTGTTTGTGTTGCAGAGAAAGCCACAAAGGCAAACCTCTGGTGTCTTCTGTTCCCTGCTGGCTAACTAAAGCAGCAGGCGGGTGGGAACTATTTCACATTTGAAAGGAGATGAAGCTCATTAGAAGCCTATGTAGATTTCTTTTAACATGAACATAAGTGCCTAAAACTTTATTTTATATGGCTGCTTCCTCATTGTTCTTAAAACCTTTTGCAAAGCTTCAAATGCTATGCCTGTTGCCTCTTTAAGTTCTTGATAGTTTGTTATTTATTTATTTATTTATTTTTGTCCCCACCAAAGTGTCTCTTCATCATTTAAAACAAAACAAAACCAAACAGAACCCACATTAAAAGCACAACATTAAATGGCTTCTCTGCAGACCTTTACAGAAAGCTTGTGATGACATGTATGGTCTGAACTGCATGCGTCTCTGTTGCAAGGGGACGATGTCCTTGAGTCGTTTCTTGCCTACACATCTGGAAGTGTTTCCTCCTAGGTTATCCTGTTGCTGTCTAGGATAAGCCTTTTTGAAGAACGCTTAAAGTAGTTTTCAAATAGTCTTTCCTTTAGCTGTGAAAGCTTGCACATATTACAAGTACAGACAGACCATTTGTCATCTTCTGAAAACTTCTATGATCTTGAAAATATTTTAAACCAACTCTTTTCCAAAACTACCAACCCCTTTAAGACTTATGACTTCTCTCACATGTTGGTCCAGAGGAGTTCCAGGAATTTCATTCTTAAGTTTGTTTCTCAATTCGTGTTAATTCTACAAACCTGTGCCAGATCTAAGTCAGGGAGACAATTTTGCAATTTAAGTACTTTGTCTAGGAGACAAGAACATTCATTTATTTTGTATGTATTTTCTATTTTCTATTAATGCATCTGATATTCTTTGCAGGAGCATAATATTCAGGAGAAATAGTCTTTAAGACTCCATAGATCTCCATAGGCTTTTGGGAATCTTTTCTACTCAGTTGCAATTATGAAGACAGCTGGATGCAAGCTACTTCTGGAGCTGTAAAATTGTGTTTTACCTCTGTCTTCATTTTTGCCCTTTGTCCTCTTGGGTTCTCCAGCCTTATTGCATCAAAGGAAACACAATGCAAAATATCTTTGTGCCTCGCCCAGAATGTCCTTTGCTCCGTAATGTTGTCCTGTTATTCTTGTATATTTAATAAGAATTTTAACATTTTACTCCAAAGAAAAAGGCTATATGGCGATTAGCTCAATGAAAAAGCTTAGGAAAGCTTTTTTTCATCACTTGTCACTTGGGAGATTACTAGTTGAGGCAAAATGGACTCATAGTTGGTCCTAGTTTATAAGCAGCCTTTCCCATTCCTGTCACCTAATTGGTTTTTCCTGGGATTTCTGTATGTGCTGGAAATGGAATTAGTGACTCTTTGGGCCATCCTATCTGTTTCCTGGATCTGAATCAGCCAACCCCTACAGCTGATCACTGGATGACCTGCCATAGTCTGCAAGCTCTTAGTAGGTATCTCAGTCTTAGAATGTGTCCTTAATGTTTTGTGTAAACATAGTAAAGTTGTGAACACATAATTTACCATTGGGTTATAAGTTTATTGAATGACAGCTTCCCATGTTCATGCTTTTGTATCATAATAAAGAGGAGGTGACTTGAGATGGATACTCTATGTTTACTGGAGGTCAAGATTTGTACAGTTTTTAGTAAACTTAGAGCAGAACCTGCCCTGGAGTGTTTGGGCATGATTATTGCCTTAACTGGAATTACTTTGTGCTTGACTTGTCACATCTGAGCCCTTCATGGTAGCAGGAAGGAACAACCTGCCTTTGTATTTCAAAGCCCTTCAAATACCATTTGTAATTAAATGTACTTCCTCTTTTTATGCTTGCCAGCTCTTAATAAAACAAGAAATTTCTTAACTCCTTAGATCTTTGAGAGGAGTAAAATGAGAAAAATTAGTGTGGAACCTGTGAAGATATATGAGATCTCATTTCCTTTATTCTTCTGATTCGCTTAGGCATTCTGATAACAACCATTGCTTCAAAAGGGGAATTACAGAATTGGCCTGAACTCTTACCAAAGCTTTGCAGCCTGTTGGATTCTGAAGATTACAATACCTGTGAGGTAAGGAGACTTATTTTGAAATGGATTATCATCTAAATTTGATTATTTTTTATCTCTCTTCATAGATACTATACATATGTATAGTATTTTGTGTGTGTGTATATGCATGTATATAATCTCTTCAGAGAACAGTGGCTCAAATGTGATACTTTTTATTCTACCTGCATTCCATGTTCTTAGTGTTCATTCAGATGAATTTGTTTTCTTTCTTTGCATAAAAGCAGAATAAGACTGTAGATGGGTAGTCATAGCATCTCAGCTGAGAAGTGTCCTGAAGTTACCACTTTGTGATGCCCAATCTTTTAGGCATCATCAAGTTGACCCTGAATTTTCTCTTACTTAAAAGTAGTGTTGTTCATTCTTCTTATAACTTAATCTGGAAACGTGATCTGTCACTGCTATATCAGGCTAGTGTGAAATGAACTTTTTTTGTTCGGTGTTTATGAAGGAAAATAAATAAATATCAGCTCAGCTGTTTTAAGCTATGAGGAGAAAAGTCTTGTCTGATTTTTAAAAAATAAAAATCTGCGATCACACAATTTTAATTACACTTGAAAATGAAACTCAAATTGACCATCATGTCCAGAGTTCTGTTTTGCCCTATAACAAACCATTAAACAAAATAAAATTGTATATGAAATTAAATTGGATGCTTCTGCAACTTGCCATTTATTTTTTCAAATAAGATCTTGCTTTTAAGCATTTTTAAAAATATGATTGAATAAATGAGCATTGAATGCTAAAATTAAAATTACCACTTCTCTAGTATAGACTCATCCAGCTTGAGAGTTTACAAATAACAGTATAAAGTGCTTAAATAAAAAGCCTTTAAGGATGTTTTAATTTAACTCCATATTTAGTTAGACATTTACTTTTTGTTAATTAGCTACATTTACTGTGGTGTTGCGCTAAAATTACCTGTTCTGTACAAAATCTGAAATGTTGCTTGGCAAAAGAACAGATTTTTTTTTTTTTTAAACAGGGTGCATTTGGCGCTCTTCAGAAGATATGTGAAGATTCTGCTGAAATTTTAGATAGTGATGTATTGGACCGACCACTCAATATCATGATACCTAAATTCTTGCAGTTCTTCAAGCACAGCAGTCCAAAAATAAGGTAGGTTTAGGTGTTGTACTGAAGTTACCTGTTAAAAATTTGTTTACATGAGCAGCGAGGTTGATATTTTGTAGATCAGTTTAAAACATGCTTAGTTTTTTTAAATGATCCTGCATGTGCAAATGTGAGAAGGCACAGAGATTTCATGCATCAGTAATTCCCATGCTTATCTGCTTATTTAATAGATCAGCCTCACCTCTTTATACATCTTCCAAATCTAGAATATGAATTTGAAAATCAAACTGTTCCTTTTAAGATTTTGCATATTATTATGCAATAACAATAATATCTTATTTCAATGCTGTGGTTAGAATTTCATATTCTGATTATAAAGAACTATCTTGCATTCATTTTGTAATGACTGCAGCAATGGGAGAGTAAAAAATCGTTTGCTGATAACAGTTTCTGAGTTCTTGCAGAAAAATATTTTTCTGCTTTTTTAACTGCACCAAAACTTAGGAAGTTCTTTATCTTTCAGCTGGTTCAAATTAAATGGGTTCAACATCTTCTTACTTTAATACAGTATTAATCTCTCCAAAGTAGCAGAAGTATAGGATAGAAGAAAAATTTCAGAATTAACTTGTTATTGCTAATATTTATCAACAAGAACAGTAGCTTTTACCCTGAAATGAGCCAGCAATGTGCCCTTGCCACAAAGGTGAATGGTGTCTTGGGCTGGACTGTTGCCAGCAGGGGAGATGATCCTTCCCCTCACCCTCCAGGTGAGGCCACACCTGGAGTACCATATCCAGTTCTGGGCTCCCCAGTACAAGAGAGATGGGGAGCTACTGGAGAGAGTCTAGCGAAGGGCCACAAAAATGATAAAGGGTCTGGAGCCTCTCTCCTATGAGGAGAGGCTGAGAGAGCTGGACTGTTCAGCCCGGAGAAGAGAAGGCTCAGGGGAGATCTCATCAATGTATATAAATACCTGAAGGGAGGATGCAAAGAAGATGGAGCCAGGCTCTTTCCAGTGGTGCCCAGTGACAGGACAAGAGGCAGTGGGCACAAACTGAACCACAGGATGTTTTACCTTAACATCAGGAAACACTTTTTCTTACTGTGAGGGTGATCAAGTGCTGGAACAGGTTGTCCAGAGAGGTGGTGGAGTCCCCATTCTTGGGGATATTCAAAAGCTGTTGGGATGTGGTCCTGTGCAACCAGCTCTAGGTGGCCCTACATGAGCAGGGGCATTGGACCAGATGACCTCCAGAAGTCCCTTCCAACCTCAGCCATTCTGCGTGATTCTATGAAATGCGTTTTTGAACTCCTGTTTGAAAAATATATTGAAAGACTTGGAGGCGGCAATTATTGCCAACAGTAGTAGATGGTGAAGACTAAAAGGAAGAGTATAACTAGGAATATATCATGATGGGATTTAAATAAGATTTAGAAACTCACCTAAAATAGATGCACACTAAGAAAAATATATAACAAAACATGAACTTGCACTTATGGAAAGATAAGCTTAATATTTCATTGGAGCTGGGAAAGATGGAGAAAAACCTCCTTTTTTCCTTATCCCATTAAACAGTCTTTCACTTTTTGTATGCTGTGATGTTTGTGGCTTTGAGATAGTTAAAACCAGTTTCAACTTTAAAGCAGATCACCTGCTGACCCACGGCTTGGTTTCAGTACATAGTGCTGAAGTATGAAGAATATTAATAGTGTCAGTAAAATACTTTATATTTAAATCTGTCAAGACAACTTTTGAACACTCTTTTATGAGACTGTCTTCCAAGAAATGTCTGAACAGACTAGACGTTTGTAGTTACATTAGTAAAAATACTTGAATGAATCTTCAAAGGCTTTTAAAGGTAGCTTTGCCTTGTGCCTTTACTTGCGTAATTTGGCTTTTGTATCTCTGAGAATGAAAAAGACTTGTAAGTAATGGCTGCATGAAGTGGAATAGAAGAACCAATTCTTCACTTTTAGCATGTTTCTACCACAAGTGTTTTAGTATGTATCCTAATGCAAGTGTGTATTTGTTCTAAGCTACAACTATATTACTGATGCATATTGGTCTCATTAAATACTAAAAATATTGCAAAGGCAGTTGGATACTTAGCAATGAAGAAGGGTGTGCTAAAATTTCACCATGTTGACTTGTATGGAATTGTTAATATCAGAGAAGATCAATAATCATAATATACTGAAAAAGAACATCCTTACGTACTTTTCGGAACAAATGTACCAGGTATAGTTATCCTGCTCTGTTTTTTATTTACTGAATACTTTATTTTAAATTATTTATTAGATATATCAGAGTATAAGGTGGTACTTAAAAATGTGGTTTAGTAATTTTTCTTGGTAATAATATAGATGTGCAGATTTGTTCCCTCTTGCCTCTAGAAGATGCTTGGACAATGTGATTTGCTTCCTAATGTTTTTGATGCCCATGTACAGTTTAGAAAATGTTTAATTCATGAAAAACGTGTATTTTAACTGTTCCATTTGTAGGTCTCATGCTGTTGCATGCGTCAATCAATTTATCATCAGCAGAACTCAAGCTCTTATGTTGCACATAGATTCTTTTATTGAGGTGAGTGTGCATTCTTGGTTGGGGGAGTTAAGTTAAATTACATATCTGATTTATCAAGAGCTTTGAATAATGTTTTACAACCACCACTACCCCCAAACTCCCCATTGCTGGCTTCCCATTCTTAGCTTCAATCCTCATGGACTGAAGTTCATTCTGTATGCTTATGCTCAGATTAGTCTAAGCACTATCCCAGCCCAAGAAATAGTATTTTGAAAGATGCTTCCTTTTCATAAATAGAGGAAACTCTTGTTGCATAAAGGTACTGGCAGCAGTCTGTCACTTACCTGTGATGGAGAGTTAAGTACGGGGATCATCATGTCACTGAGTCTGGATGATGAGTCTCTCTGAATATTACTACTGAATGTGGATTAGAAGGGTGATATTTTGGGTTATCTAGAGTATTTTATTTGCTGCTGTTATGTACTGAAGGAGTTTCCTAGCTTCAGAACTTCATTAATGTTTAGGGGAAAAAAAATAATTCAGGAAATAATGTTCTTGTATCTAATGTACATATGACCAAAACACTGGGTAACAATACACATTGAGAGTCTGAGAGTTCATTTGCTAAACCATATGTCTTTAAGAAATAATACGGTATTCTGAGGTGTGGGGTGGGAGGGTACAGAAGTACATGTTTGCATACTTTAGTTTGCCTATAATGACAATTTAAATACAAGTTCAGCTAGATGAATTGAGACTTTTCAACTGGTATTACGTTCCAACAGAATCTTTTTGCACTGGCTGGTGATGAGGAGCCTGAAGTACGTAAAAATGTTTGCCGTGCTCTGGTAATGTTGCTGGAAGTTCGAATGGATCGCCTGCTTCCTCATATGATTAGTATAGTTGAGGTGAGTCTCATTTCCCAGATTGCATGCTGAAACATGTGAAAGTTTCTTTTTAGCTAATTGCCAACTTGACATTGTATTTGACAGACAAGACGTATGGCAGTTGTTCATTCTTCGTTAAGTTAATTGATCCTGAAATGGCCAGGATCAGCTATACCATGGAGCAGCCAGGCATTGTCTGACCACAAGTGAGAAGATCATGTTAAAAATCTTAGTTCTAGGGCTGATACTGCTACAGTTTACACATTGAAGCTGTCACCTTTTTTGGATCTTTTGACCACAACAAGGATAAGGAATGTTGTTTTATATAGCTGAGATGCTCTTTGAGCTACTAACGAAGCTGCCTGCCATTGCATTCAGTTGTAGATATTAGTGTCATTTGATAGTTCCTTTATCATTCTAGATTAGTGCAGACTTGCCTGCCAGAGGACCAATCAGCTGATTTTTGTCTGCTCAACTGTTTAAGTTGTAATTTCCATGTTTCTGGGAAATACTGGAAGTTTCTAGGTAGCCTTTACATATACTACTTGCTAGACTGGAAATATAGCTAAGATCAGTATGTTTCTTATGCAGATTTCATATGAACAAGTAGGTCATAACCCAGTGTCAAATTCCATAAGGGCTAGGTCCAGACAACACGAAGAAGGTGTTAAGTTTTTTTTGCTCCTGAACAAAGGCATTAGAGAGGCATAAAATTGAAGTGACCTGTGACAGTCTTGGCCTACTGTCTAGTCTTCCTATGTGTTGTCTGGAATTCCATGACACCAACCCTGGCAGACATGTTCTCATGTAACACAGGAAAAGTAGGGATTGTTGGTACTTGAGGTGTTTTTTTCCTTTTGTTTGGTTGGGTTTGGGGTTTTTTTAAGAGAGAGAGAGAGAGAGAGAATAAAGCTTTGGAGATTATATTGTCAACAAGTGATAACTTATCTGGCTCTTCACCCTCCTAAGATCAGTAAGGAACTTCTGGACTTTGCAGGTAGAAATGATGTCACCAACCAGAAGAAGATCCAAGATTGTATTCTCATACATTGTATCTGGTATTTTGGTTTTGGGAAAACTATTACTAAGCTGCTTCTTTACAAAAGGCAGTAGTAGTGAATTTTTGTTCTATAACAAAGTTTAGACTTCCCCCCCAGTTTTGGGACTGCTGTGTACTGTTACTGATTTCCCCAGTTCTGTATACATATTGGTATGTGCAAATGTAATATCCCAGAACTGACTATTGTTCAACATTCAAATGAGTCGGTTTTGCCCCTTTGAAGCTTGAATTACCTCCAAGCTGAATGCTGCTGATGGTGGCTGCTCTAACTGAAGGAAGTCTTAAAAAGAGAGAAACTTGTGTCCACATGATGTTTTTTTTTATGCTTATGGAGAATCACTTCTAAAGTAGTTAAGAATATTAATGATCCAGTAGTGATTCTAAGACAGAAGGTCTTGGCCAGCATCATGCTTTTGAAGCAGACAGGTTTAGTATTAACTTTCTTGCCAAGTTCCTGGAGCATACAGGAATGGTTGAGTTTGGATTTCAGTGGATTTTTTGAGCATGTACTTCCAGGTGAGCAGATGTGTATTTTTTTTTGTGGTGGGTTTTTTGGGTTTTTTTTTCCTCCTTCCTTTGTCTGAGAACATGACAACAGGATATGTCAGGAGTAAACTGACCTAACAGATTTCAGTTATTAGATTGCACTTGTATGTTCATAGAGCATATTTAGCCAAACACATGACTCCTAAGATCTTTCTCAATAGAAGTCCTGACTTTTTATTATACAGTGCATAATGAGATTACTTGTAATGAATGAATAGCGTATTGATGTTATGAAGTTATAACACACAAACTCAGCTTGTTGCTGAAGTCATAAGATTGTGTGTATCCTGTCGCTTTCTTCAGATAAAGACGTCTGTTACTGCTCAAAGGATGCGTTCTTAATGCTTCGTGCATCATGCTCTTCTTTTCTTGATGGCTTGACATAACAAAACTAACACAACACTCTTTGTTACAGAGTACGCAAACCAGTTTTGAATAATCTTCCTATGCTATTTTGTAATTTATTGTTATGAAGCAGCTATTTCCATTGCCTAAAGTCAATAGAACTTTATAGCTTATCATTAAAAGTACTTATTATAATTTGGCATGATAATTTAAAAAAAAAAAGCCTTCAAATACTCTTCCCACACTTTACTTTGTTACTAGTATCACTGTTCTTACTATGGGGGCCTACAGGAAAGATGAGGAGGGACTCTGTCAGGAGTGTAGTGATAGGACGAGGGGTAATGGTTTTAAACTGAAAGAGGGTAGATTTAGATTAGATATTAGGAAGAAATTCTTTACTGTGAGGGTGGTGAGACACTAGAACAAGTTGCCCAGAGAAGTTGTGGATGCCCCATCATTGGAAGTGTTCAAGGCCAGGCTGGATGGGGCTTTGAGCAACCTGGTCTAGTGGAAGGTGTCCCTGCCCATGGCAGGGGGGTTGGAACTAGATGATCTTTAAGGTCCCTTCCAGCCCAAAGCATTCTATGATTTCCAGGCTGTGTATATGGCTGTCTTATACCACTGAGTGTAAGTAGCCTTATCAATCTACTGCTAACTTCATGATGCATATACTATAATACATACTTAAAGAGGAAGTGACAGTATGAGGAGCACCTTCAAACAGAGATTACTTTTTGTCATTCTGTTTTTGTCTTTGTGACAAATAACTGGATACAACAAAATAGTGGATTTTCAAGCCCTCTGGGGAAAAATGCCAAATCACTTCAGATGCATTAATGAAGCCTTGCTTGCAATGGGTAGGACATTTTTCAAATTTTCCAAGCTGTAATCTGTTGACAATTCAAAATAGAGCAGTATTTCTGTTACTGTGAGTTCTTAATCACAGTAGTGACCCTTTAGGAAACACTTGCAATTTAGTGCAGTTCTGTAAGAAGGGGTGTGTTCGTGGCAAATCTTGCATCCCTGAAATGCGTAAGGATAATATAGGTCACCCCATTCTTTTTAACTTTGAGAATAAAGTGGTATTCTGAAGAAGGATTTCTTTTACTCATTTTAAATCCATGTGTGAGGAAAGGTAGCCGCATGACTTCCACGCAGCTTCTAAAATGAGTGGAAGAACCAACTGTTTCAGAAATAAGGGCTGGCATGGAAGAATGCAGAAATTACTATCTTGGAAGTTGCAAGCATCTTCCCTGAATTGTTTTGGCAGTTGTGTATAAGAAACTGATGTAGCTGTGGTATACTTAGACGTTCTGTTTATGCAGGTATTTGATTATTTTTTGTTTAAGGGGGATTAAATTTTAACAGCGACCTTAAGGATTTGATACTGAATCTCTGAATTACCATTCATGCTAGAAAAAAGTGAGACTTTTTTTCCCTGTTATGGGTTCTGCTTAATTGCATCCTGTCAGGTAATCGAGATTTGAAAGGGAAGCTTTTTTATGGTACTGGATATAAAAAGTATTTCCATCTTACTAAGTGTATAGTTGTACCTTTTTATTCAAAAGGGCAAAGGGGGGGTGGTAAAATAATTTACAAAAAAAAACTTCTCAGGAAACTGCAGTTTATTATCTTGGGTCTCTGTCTATAGTTTCTTGGTAATAATGTTCTCACTTAAGCAGTGAAGAAACTTAGAATCTGAATCATCTAGCATTAAGAATAAGTCTCTTGGCTTATTCTCACCATAGCCTTAAGTAGTCTCTTATATCTGTTTCTTCCCCTCGCTCCAAAGAGACAAAATTACTCTGGTAGCATAGTCTGTTTTTGCAAACACACTTTGCAATGTTGATAGCTTCTTCTGGGCACTTAAAACTTATATCTTATACAAGTAATTTTTTTTATATTGTGTAGTATATGCTTCAAAGGACCCAGGACCAAGATGAAAATGTGGCTTTGGAGGCTTGTGAGTTTTGGCTGACTTTGGCTGAACAGCCAATTTGTAAAGATGTATTATGTCGGCATCTTACTAAGTAAGTATTAAGAATTACAACTCCTAGTTATTTTGAAATAGTCATCTTTAAACTTCAGTTGACTTGTTCCTGGTTACTCTTATAGAGACTGTATCTAGCTTGCTGTATGCTTAGAAGGGGTTTCCTGTAGCTAGTTCTTGTGCATATTAAAAATGGCTGTAGCACAGAGGTCCCTGAAAAGACTTCTGAGGATTTCAGACTCAGCTCCAGAAGCAACCTAAACTGTGTCACTGGTGCTTTACCTCGAGCTTAACAGCCTGTTAAGCATCAGATGGATGCAAAGGTATACTAACGTGCACTTAAGCTTAAACAAACATCTCCATGTGACATTACCTGTAATATCTGGTGTACCGTGAACACGTTGTCTTGACAACTGCTATTGTGAGCATCTCTGTGCAATGCTTCTATGTGCATAGTCATGCCAAGGGTTCCCCATCTTTATGAACATAACAAAATGACAAGATCATTTAGATTTAGGAATCAATTTCATGTCAGTTGCCACTGCAATTTAAACTTGAAGAAAGCATGTATAATGTGTTTCTTCATACTTCTTCAGACTGACAGTAGTTTTTTAAGTTTCAAAAATGTTTTTTTTTGTAAATTTCAAAAAGTTATCCTAAGCCTTAAAATGTAGATCCTTGATTGAATGGGAATGAATAACCATGTTTGAGATTTAAACATCTGCATGACCGCAACAGTGCTTGTAACTTTTTTCCAGACCAATCTGAAGACTTTCACAATAGGAAACCAATTCTTCAGTGTTCCCAGGAAATGGAAACTCTGTTTTTGACATATGCATGGAAGGTTTTTGAAAATACTAGAGCAGTTCTGTCTGTAATTCTGTTCTTCCAGTCAAGATGTTGAGAGGAGATGCATTCTTTTCAGCAAATATGACCATTTTAGATGTAAAGCAATTTAAAAAAAAAAAAGGGGTGTGTCAAAATTTCAGTTTTCATAAGCAATTATAAAGCAGAGAATTGAGATTAAAACACCTACTGTAGCAGTACAGGAATAGGAGTTAAAAACAGGAGAACCAATATTATGAGAAATGATTTCTAAGTTTTAAAATGTTTTTACTTAACTCCTACACTTATAGCTCGAAAGACAAAACAATGATAGCACAGTTCTTGATTCTACCTACCCCCTTCCCAACACACATATTAATACTAGTCACCTTCTCAGTATAAAACTTAAACCTCTTCTGGCCTGCATGAACATTGACATTGCAACAGCTTCATCCTCAGCTGTTGTGTTTTTTTAAGAAGCTTTTAAACTTCTAGAAAAACAGATAAGAGTAACATTACATATCTCTCATCTTTCAATGTCATATTTGTTGAAAGCAACTTGTTGGTGAGTCATTTTTGACTAGGGAGCTATATAAATTTACCAATACTTGATGAGAATCTTAAATTTTTTATATTAGATTAAATGGGACAAGATCTTCTAAAATCCTGTTTGTTTAATATCTTGTTCCATTTTGCTCCTGTAGGCTTTCTTATAAAATACATAGCTCCTGCATACTTCATGAAGTATGCTGCAGAAATGCCAATGAATGGATGTTAATCAGAATACTTACTATTCTTTCATTAAAAGTTCAGAAGGTAACGTGCCATTGAGATGCATGAATATTATTGCTGGCCTGAGTACCTTCAGAAACAATACTTCTCAGCTGCAGAATATACAGGGATTGAGTCTGTCACTGGTGCTGGGTCAGTCCATGGTGATTTCAGTAGCTTGATTTGGTTTATAATATATTTTTATTTTTATGGATTTATTTTTGTAGTGAATGTGGTTTTATGTGAAGTATTTGACTTTTTTCCCCCTAGTACTTTTTTTTTTTTTGCCATACATCAGTACTGTTGGAGTCCCATGGCCATAACCAGTTTAATAACTAAGTAAAGTTCTAATATAGATTAATGACTTGACTAATGTCAAGATCTCTGCAATGTTGGGGTCTTGTCTTAAGGGGTGATACTTGAAGTAATCACAAAAGGATAGGAGCGCTTAATGTAGTTAGACTTCCATCCTTAGGAGTAGTGAGGTAGAGTCTTCAGCCACAGGTAAATAAAGTGACAAATACTACTTGTGAGAGCCAACTTAATAACTTGTTTATCAAGCATATTTTGGGAGTTTGAATTCTTACTGAAAAGCTTTAGACTTAATTCCTGAAAGGTGCTTCAGAATAAATTTCATCATGTGGAAGAATATCCTGTTTTTAAAGTGTAAAACTCGGTTGCGCCATCTGGCTACCTCTAGTTAGAAATTAACACTTTTTCAGATTACAAATTACTGATGAACCTCATGAAATGAAGTATGGTTAAGGTACTAGCTTTTGTTATCAGGCTGTTTTTGGTGGTTGTTGTTGTTTGGAGGGGGTGGTTACAACGAAAATTATGGCCCAGGTAACTGAAAACCAGCTTGCTTTTATTTATGTGTTATTTCGACATAGAATCATAGAATATCTCAAGTTGGAAGGGACCCATAAGGATCATTGTGTCCAACTCCCTGTTTCTCGCAGGACTACCTAACACTAAACCATATGACTAAGAGCA